CAGCAGGCTCGACCGTGATTTGGCGAAGGTTGGGAGTGTTTGCGGGAGGTCTTCCAATTTGTGTGGAGTGACTGAAGACGATGCACTGATTTGGCAAAATTATAGGACGCAAAGAAAGACTTGCTATAGACTTTTGAACATCAACGGTGGGGCACTTCACACTGCATGTCCTGTTCCAAGGAGACTGAAGAACCAGAGCACCTTCCTGAAGATCCGGAAAGGTGCCTCCCTTGAACTTCACCTGTTTCAAGAGACACAAACATTCCAGAGATGGTGTCTTTATATTTTGGAGCCTAGTCCCAGGTGCTGTGCGAATATCATGGAGGAAGTCCAGAAGGCAGTTCACTTGCATGTAGAATCAGCTGCTTCCCTTGGCTGGTTGACACGGAATTCCACAGCAATTCTACAGTGCATGGTTCGCAGTGTTTTGTGGGGTTGATGCTAGAATTGGTCCAAGCAGGTAAAGCAGAGAACCTCTGAGAAATGGATAGATGCCACAGATTCCAGCACAACCACTAAACGTGTCCCCACTAAACATGTCACAGTGTCGCACATAGAACACGAAACCGTGAGCGAGTGTGTGGGTGAGTGAGGTGACTCGGCAGAACATCGAGCTGAGCTCCAGTTCCTTGGAAGGAAGGAACAAGAGGACGCTACTAGGGGCTCCTAGCATCGCTACTAGGAGCAAGAAGCTACTAGGACCAAAGGGCATCGCTTTCATTTCTGATCGCTGGGGTGTTGGAATAAATGGATGTTGGAACCAGAAAAGAAGATAATGGCCGCGTTAATAAGGCCCCCTTGTAGGGGCCCTGATTTATAAATTCTTTCGGCTACGGAGCTTGGTCCACCAAGGATGGCACTATCATTTCAAACTTTTCTTGTTGTTGCAGATAGGCAGGTGTTACTAAGTTATGACTCATGACGATGGTTCTTGGCAGTCTTTGGTTGCCTTGGATGCGCTCATGTCAAGAAACACTTGCTGGTCACATTCTGGGATGCAATCTTTCAAAGGGTTTGTGTTCAGTAGACTCGGTAGACACTCCTCTCCAAATCAGGTTGGGGGAAGGTTTTCCTTCAGCCCCACCAAGTCCTGTGCGTCCGTGGAATACACCTTTATCATCCTTTATCAATCCTCAAACCACCAGTAGAGCTTGAGGCTACGAGGAGCGACTTCGAAGCTTGGAAGTCAGAGCCTCTAAATAGGGGCTGTGGTTGTTTGTATGTTCCTCTGCCGTTGCTGCATGACGACCTCCAGCCAACACTGGTGAATGGGACTGGAATGGGAGGCAAGGACTGGGAGACAAAAGTTGCCTTGTCTGATTTTCGCCGATTTGAATTGCTATGTCAAGTTCCCCCCAATGTCCTCTGCTTGGAAGGTTTGGCTCCATTTTTGCAGATCTGCAGCAAAATAAAGAGTCAAGTCAAGGGATGTACAAAATCCTTTCCAACCTGTTGTGGAACTCCGGTGTCGGAATGGAACTGAGAGGCCATGCCTTCTGAAGTAAAGAACTGTTGAATCTACAATGCTACAGGACTTGGAAGTGGATTACAGACGTAATTCTGCACATCCGTTTGATAATGGTCCATGTCTCCTACATATCCAGCAGCTATGGTGACGGCACCGCCGCTTGATGTCGGATGACCTGAAGGCATGGTTGAGAAATATATGTCACTCAACGGGTTGCACTGAACAAGTGTACTGTGGCTGATCACCGTACTCCTTACCGAAAGCTTTTTGAAACGGCAGGTCCTTGTAAATTGTGCAAAACATCTCCAAAGATGCAGACAATTGACGTGTGCTTTGCTGGTATTTGACAAAATCTCTATCTATTGAAAAGCCTTTATTGAGCTGGGCTTGAAGCCCCAACTTGCACACTGATCATCCCCGCTGGCATCTGCAGGTGCCACGTGGGCTTTTTATTGCCGAAACTGAGGCACCATGGGAGAACTCCACGAGTCAGCGAAGGATTTGTTCCTTTTCCCTTAGTCATCAATGAAGTTCCTTGTTTGTGGCTTGCAGCAATGACCGGCTGTCTCTACTAAACAAGTAGCATTACTACTGTATATATATACACGTATATACATACACAATATTGTATACATTATACATATACATTCTTGTTTAAAGGCAGTAATCTTGCTGTTGCGACAATAGCATGCAGTTTGATACAGATAGAGACTGCCCAGGAATCCTTGCATGAACTTCAATTGGTCGAGCCTTTAAGCCAAACATTGAATAAAATGAGTTCCAAGAAGCCCACAAGTGCACTATGGTTGTTAATCCGACAACTCCAGGTTCCTATCTTTGAAGCAGTTGGGTGCCATTCTCAGAATTTCGTACGTTGAACCACTTTTGCGCAATAATATAAACGCCACCCTGAAAGGGAGTGGTTGGAGTCCGAGACAGCAGTGGCATCATTTCACACACAAACATGTTTGGAAGAATTTGACGGACGAATGGGCAGAATATGACACAGAAAGACAAAACCAAAACCAGAAAATCCATCGAATGGCTCTTGCACGACATTTTAAAGCTGTTGATAGTATGAGGGCCCACAGACGCTTTAGGGCCCATGGCCGAGAAAGGGAGTTGTTGATAGTGTGAGTGAATGATCTCACAATGCTTTATGCAATTTTGGCGAAGGCGAAGGCTTTGCATGATGCAGATGATGCATCGAATTAGGCAAGCGAATCATTCACATTACCTGGCTGTGGATCTAGATAACTATCAGACAACACCCTTGCCAGTCAACTTTGGTTGTTTGGAATGCAGCTACAAGACACTTACGTTCACTCAGCAACCTCAGCTCCAAACTTGCGGACGAGAGAAGAACCGGCCTTCCCTTCTCAATTGTTGTGCTTCTCTAAGGCTAGATGCTCAGGCGATCTACCGGGAGTCTGGAGACGGAAGGTTGTCCAAAAGCTGCCTTGAAGGAAGCTGCCATTGCAGGCCAACCTTATCTTTGTCATATCAGTGACTGGTCTTATTAGTCTTATTCTAATTCTGTGAACGGCAGAACCTTGTCATACGATTGTACTTCATGTCTAACCATGGGCGCCTTTTTGCCCGGCAGTGCAGTTTCTTTTTTGACATCAATAGCCAAGTCTGTAAATCATGGAGACTTGCAATCCATTACTACGGCCTAGGGGAAGCATGCCCAATGAAATTAGACAGTTCTGGAGTGGCCGAAGCACCTCTATATAATCCCTATTTGGGGTTGCAGAAAACACATAAGGAGTCCTATCAACCTTCATTGCGCATTGTTGCTTTCCCCGGATATTTCCATTGCAGGCGACAGAGGGAGGCACTGATGGGTGGGAAGTGAAAGGAGAAGCACAGATCTACCTGGTTCTCTCAGCAGATATCCCGACAATAACGACTCAAAGGGGCAAACATATTTTTGAGTTGCTTCGATTCAAGCATCCAGAAGTAGACTGTGGGTAATTGGCACAAAGTGCAATCAGCCAATCTTCATTCAAGAGATCAACACCATGGTGACAAAAAAAAGGTCCTGGTCCTGCCTGCTGGGTCCTTGATATTTTTTTTT